TCTACCAGAGGAGTAGAAGAACATCACTAGACATCATCAGATAAACCAAAAGTCCCTTTAACCCTTATGCTGCCAGGCCCTGCACTCCTCTTTTAAACTCAGGTGGCTAGACCATTTTTGTAATTTTTCTATTGCTTTTTATATTTTTCTCTTACAGCTTTCAGAGTTTGTATTGAGTTAATAAACAGAAAATATTTGTAAATTTTAAATTGCATCTTATTGTGAAATGGTGGAAATTGAAATAACCAAATTTCTCTAAAAATCTGGAAGTTTTCATTTTTCAGTTACAGCTTTCTATACTTTTAGTGTAGGTATCCCCATTGATTCTGTGAAGTCAATGTTTTGCCAAAGCAGGAGTCTGGGAAGTCAATTTTTTACCAAAGCAGGAGCAAAATTGAGGTATGACTATTTAAAAGACAGTGTCTATTTTAGACAAGGCAAGCCAGTCAGCATGTAGAGAGTATAAAAAGTAATCTCCAGAAGCAAAAGCTCCTATCATGTACATGATAGCAGAGCCTGATATGATGAGGAAGGCCTCTCTTACACCTTTGACTCAAAGCCCCTGATAGTGTAAACAGAAGGCACAGGAGTGCAGAGTGGCGCAAGTCTTATAAGTCTTGCTAGCAGCAGGGCAGCTGTCCATACTGGGCAGATGAAGTCATCAAGAGTCTTCATTAAGGCAGGCAGACTGGCAGGCAGCAGACTAAAGTATACTGATACCGGAAACAGTAGACAGATGAGATAATTTCTGGTAGCAGACTGTAGATCAGGAGGAACAGATGGGTTCAGAGGACTGATAACGGAAACAGTAGACAGATGAGATAATTTCTGGTAGCAGACTGTAGATCAGGAGGAACAGATAGGTTCAGAGGTCAGTGCAGGCATAGTTCAAATAGTAGTCAGGACAAGCTTGTTCAGCAACTGGAATTGTGATACAAGATCACATGGTCACATTATACACAGGAGACTGAAGACAAAGCAGCACTGATCTTGAGCACTGGCACAGTTTAAATAGTCCCTCTGGTGCCAACATTTGTCATAAGCACATGTGAGCACGTGACGCATGTGCATATGTATTAGCCTGAGAAGGTGCACCAAAGACAGTCCAGAGGAGCCATCTCGTCTACTGGAATGTCCTTCTTGACAGCTCCCCAAGTAAGTTGAGAGCATACAGTAAATTAATATGAGGCAACGTGTTTTGTTCAGGACAAAAATCCATATACATTGAAATATCATGACTCCAGTCTCATATTTCTAGTGAGCAAAGCCAAGTTTTATAGTTTAAGATCAGGCAAATTAAGTGAGTGCTCCAATTAAGTAGTTGAGTTCTAACGAACTCTGGGAACTCTCTATAAAGAGTATTAAGGTTAGAGTGTTTGAGAAGAATAGGTAAGACCTGTAATATAAAAAAAGAGCTTAGGAAAGGCTAAGATTTTGATTTATCTAGTTATCTAGTTATGTATGCAAAAGTTGTTGAAATAAGAGTGTTAAGAGTTGTGTTATGTGAACGTAGCAAGAGAGAAATGTTAAATGTATAAATTTTACATAGGCTATGTAGAGGGAAGGCTTTGCCCAGTGCCAGAGACATGGGTATGGGAGACAAAAAATGATTATTGATGATTAATTTGATTGCAGGGGTACGTTAAATTAATGGAATTTAGGAAGAAAAAGTGTCCGGAAGAAAGGATATGACTCAAGAAGAGTTACTCAGTTTGATTATAAGTCTTTTTGACATCAAGATTTACTGGCATAGAGGGTGGAGAAAAATTTTGCATGACCTGTTGTTGCAATAGCAGTACATACTGTATGCCCAATGAAAAGTGTTTATTGTAGCTTAGTCCTAGCTAATGGAAAGTCAATACCTTTGGAATATAAATTTAGATGACACTAAAACAGCCATCCACAAAATATCAGATTGGAAATGTTTAAACAGATCCTATTGATAACCATGAGCCAACTCTGCCAATGGAAATTATGTCTTCCAATTACAAAGACTTCATCAGCAATCATTTGAAGCTTATAGATCCTTTGAGTGGTGTTTCAACTTATTATGGCTGTATCTGAATGCTGAACCAAAAAAATCTTTTGATTGGGTCACTAAATTTAACATTTTAGAAAAATAGGGGTGCCCTGTGTTTTCTTTCAGTTTTGGAGATCCCCAGACCTTATTATCATCACACATGAAATCATGGAAAGGCCTCCTAGATCTCTCCCGATTCATCGTGCATGTGGGAGGTTTTTCTAGTATGTAAAGGAAAGAGAAAGAAATATTACCATTCTTAAAAAAAAAAAAAAACGCTTAAAATGAATAGTATGCATTACTATTCTGTGCTGTCTGTTTGTTAAGTTGTCCTTTCCTTTCTCTCAGCATGTAAACATAATGGTGCATTAATAATCTGCGCCTTCAACTATTTCAAACATCTTTCCTCAAAACATGCAGCCTAAGCAGGTTAAATATCACAGTTACTGATATGCAAATTTTAGTTTTTGTCAAGGGTGAACGGCAAAGCCCTTATCTCCACTTTTATCCACTGTACATTGTTTCAAGCACATGACATATGACAAGACTAGAAAGGACAAAGGGCTACATAGGCAGGCAGTGATTGAAAGTCTGGCTTTACCCTCTTTTTGCAGTGCAAGAGGCTAGATGGCAGTCCTCAGTGGTGGAACTACTGGGTCTCTGTTAACAGACTTGAGACTTGAGCATCATTGTTTTTGTTAACTAATACCTGGCAGTTGTTTATTTGACAAAAAAAAAGGTTTCTTTAATGATAGTGTAAAATGTATATATATATATATATATATATATATATATATATGTATATGTAAATAATATAACATAAAAATAAAACAATTTCATAATTAACTTTTAATCTTCCTCTAATTGATCCTTGGTTGGAGTATATCAGCAGGAGTTACTTTTAATACCATGTTTTTATTTTTTATTTTAATAACATGTTTTAAAATGTAATTAATATTGCAGTTCGCTTGGAGTTCAATACTCCAGTGTACTCCAGCTGTGTAAACCCTGTAGGTGAGGGTGTTCCCAGTATGGTATAGTATTTGGTTATGTAGGCATACCCAAAAAACACACAAACACACACACACACACTTGAACAAATTATCATTTAAAATCTATGCTACTTGTAAATATTTTCCTTGCAGTGGAATGATTGATTTCAACTAATTTGATTAGCTTTTTAAATCCCTCATAGGCATCCATAAAATCCTTAATCTTCTTCCAGAGGTCTTTAGAAAGCTCTTTTGATCTTGGCATGATGACATCCCAGATGTCAATAGCAAACAGAACACCAGACCCTAGATACCCGAGGTTTAAAAAGGCAGCTTCCACCTGCATACTCCCTAAGGAGGTTCTAGCCATTGGCATTTCAGCTAGAACTACTGATTCTAAGCTCATGGATTTAAAAGGATAGCAATTGTAGATGTGTACTTACTTATTCAGTTTGTTTAATGTATATTATGAACATTTTGTTATATCTATTTAGTTAAGTGCAACAAATCTATGCTTTCATTAATTTACATTATTAAATAAAACAAATCTATGCTTTCATTAATTTACATTATTAGAATAAATATGTCAATTTTATGTGCCATTTGTTCAAGTATTTTAACTTATCGGTAGGTACTATTTTGATGAAGATCTACTATTTTCTTGTGCAAATATGTTGAAAGGTCAACAAGTTCTTTGGATTGTGGTTACTTTTTCACATGACTTTACATACACATAAAGTGTATGCATATTTTAATAATTCACTTCTCTTATATGCTCACTTTTAGTTTGTTAAATGTATTATTATGAACATTTTGTTATATCTATTTAGTAAGTGCAAAAAAATACCTTCTGATCCCAATAACATACTATGCTCTTGGTCTGTACTGCTGTCTTATCAGTTATATTGCTCCTGACTTAAGGTGACAAAACTGCTCCTACATAGATTCAATATGGTGACTGAGCAATGTCACTCTAGGAACTGTGTTAGTGGAAGGATCAGCAGGAGAAAGTAAAGGAAAAAATGCCCTGACAATAGACAATAGAAAACTACTGCAACCACCACCTCTGAGCACTGGGAAGCCAAAATATTTGTTTGTGCTGTTTTGGACAATGTACTGAAAAATGGAAGCTGAATGGGACTTACTGTAACCACTCAGTTAAAACATAAGATTTGTATTATTATTATTTATGTTATTATTATTATTATTAAGCAAACAAACTGTGCTGATGCACCTTAGTAGGTATTAGGACCTGAAGGAATTAACCACTTGCCTACCGGGCACTTATACCCCCTTCCTTACCAGGCCAATTTTCAGCTTTCAGCGCTGCCGCACTTTGATTGACAATTGCGCGGTCATGCAACATTGTACCCATATGAAATTTTGATCATTTTTTCCTCACAAATAGAGCTTTCTTTTGGTGGTATTTACTCCCCGCTGGGCGCTTTACTTTTTGCGCTATAAATAAAAAAGTGAAAAAAATTTGAAAAAAAAAAAGTTTCTTTGTTTCTATTATAAAATTTTTCAAACAGGCATTTTTTCTCCTTCACTGATGTGCGTTGATGAGGCAGCACTGATGGGCACTGATAGGCGGCACTGATGGGAACTGATAGGCAGCACTAAAGGGCACTGATAGGCAGTACTAATGAGGTGTCACGGATAGGCGGCACTGATAGACAGCACTAATGAGGTGTCACGGATAGGCGGCACTAATATGCAGCACTGATAGGCGGCACTGATAGGTGACACTGATGATGGGTACTGATAGACGGCACTGACTGGCATCACTGCTGGGCACTGACTGGCGGCACTGACTGGCACAACCCCTGGGCACTGACTGGTGGCACTGACTGGCAGCACTGCTGGGCTGCACTGGTGGGTGGCACTGGTGGGCAGCACTGGTGGGTGGGCACAGGTGGGTGGCACTGGTGGGCACAGGTGGGTGGGCACAGGTGGGTGGCACTGCTGGGCACATGTAGGTGGCACTTCTGAGCACAGGTAGGTGGCACTGCAGAGTGGCACAGGTGGGTGCACTGCTGGGCACAGGTGGGTGCACTGCTGGGCACGGGTGGGCGGGAGCTAGTGGGCGCACTGCTGGACGGAACTTGCGGGTGGCACTGCTGGGCACCGATCATCAGGGCACTGATCATCAGTGCCCTGATGATCGGTGCCGATCCCCGCTCTGACAACTGCCGGTTCTCGGCAGTACTTTCCTCACGATCTGACAGTGTGAGGAAAGTGCAGCCGAGAACCGGCACTTGCATTTCCCTCTGATCAGCGTGTCATTGGACACCGCTGATCAGGTGGTAAAAGGCCGGTGTGATTGGCCTTTTACCACATCACGTGATCAGCTGTGTCCGTAGGACACAGCGATCACGGAGATCGCCGGGTGCACGCCCCCTGGGGCGCGCAGGAGAGCGCGTTCTGGGAGGATGTCATATGACGTCCACCCAGAACTGGCCGGCCGCGGTGAAGCCGTCATTCGGCTATGCGCGGTCGGCAAGAGGTTAACAATAAATATGAGGCTCATCACATTTCAGAACATTAATACATTTTTTTTTGTACTTGCATTTGAAAATATTTTTAGGAAATCCCTGCTGATATATTCTACTGGGAACAATCTGCCAATACTTAAATGTTAATTATACACAATATAGTTTATTTTAGCTTAAAAATACTTTTTCTATAATTTGTATGCTTTTTCATTTTATTTAAATCTAGAGGTTATTCTATAATAAAACAAAAGCAATGCTGGCCATGTGAAAACTAGCTATTTTGCTAGCCAAGTGAAAAACTACAGAGATCCTATTACCAGAAATTAGCAATTTTTCAAAATTTTTTGAAATAACTTTGTGAATGCGGTATTTATTTTGAATAGGAAGTCACATACATTAAAAAGGCATTTGGTAAATCAACTGATAGTAAACCAAGTAATTATATTAAGAGAGGGCATTTTTGATTTTGTGAGTTTTATGCCAGCTGGTCAGGTTCATTGAATTAGTTTGACTTGACGCATGACATATTCAGTATAATAGTATTGTTGCCACAACTATCAGATGGTATTTATTGCAGTGCACTGAAAAGAACATAGACCCTAACTGATTGAAAGTAATGGGGCTTTTATAGGCACCATACCAGAAGGATGTTCAATACTCAAAAATGTAAAAGATTAAAGCTTTATTAGACAATGTTAAAACCACAGTTGTGGTAAAGATTTGGAGCATTCACATAGCTCATAATAAAGGACATGTGTAGCTAGTACATAGTAGCAGGCTTGTTACATAACATTGCAGAAACTATCCATAGATAACATAACTAGCATAGTTGACATAAGTTCCTTAAGATCTTTCTCCAATCTTTCTCCGACACTTTTTGCAGGACAATATCCTGCTTTCTCAGGGAGATATAGCATACAGTTCTAAAATTATATAAACAAAACCAAAATAAGTATACAACATATCAAGAAAATATTAAGAACAAATGACACCTGTGACAATCACATATTCAAATTTACCAGGCGATGGCATCAGGATGTTCATAAAGAGCCACAAGGAGCCATGACCATTTGAATTCAAAAGGGTCCCTCCATTAAGGGTAATGAAGGAAGCAGAAATAGGTGAGATGGGCAAACCACAAGCCCATTTAACCTAAAAACAAACAACAAAAAACCCCCACACCTATATTAATCATGTAAGAGATGATACCAACACCCTCTTGGGAATATTAATTATATTAGTAGAAATAAAGTTAAGAAAACAAATCAAATCATCTGAATATTAGCTGTGTCCCAAATCCATCCAAAACTACACCCCTACTCCCCAAATTGATCTTGGCATAGACAAGTTGGTGATTCGGGACAACAGGGAAATAGTCTATGCATTGGCCTCGGCTAGGTACATATTAGAATTAATCTTTCCAAAACTAATTTCCTCTGGGTAATACACATCCAAATATTTGGCTTTCCAGAAGAAAGAAGAAGTATATATTTATGTATTCCATACCACAGAAAACATTGCTTACCATGATCAAACCCTTTCCCAGTCTAAAGTTTCAATCTGCATAAATATGTTGGGAATGATAGATATAGTAGTGTAAATATTCTTCAATAAAATATAGTCTTAGGATCACATCCTCCTACCAAGGGCCTTACGTAGTGAGAGGAAGGCACCAAATGTCGGTGTTCTGGCTGTGCGGCTGTGATGTCAGCATGTACGTGTGATGTCCTGACTTGCAACGTCATTACGTCCGACATCGCGATGTCTGATGTCACAAATTTGCATCAAATTCCTGTGGCCATATTGGAAAGACTAATCAACAAATAAACAAGCAAAAACACCCCATGGAGCCACATGCAGCCAAAGCCAAACCATGCAATACCCCCAAGGCATCAACTGCATCAGGGTCCACATCACACAATACAAAAAGTGTATACATTATAAAACAAAAATATACTGGCCATGTATGACAAAAATACATAAATGGTCATGGTTCCTTTTAAGCCTTCCTCATAGATTAAATATGATCTTTACATACATATACTACTGCCATCTTGTCATAGCAATATAGCAATTTCTTTGATAGAGAAAAAAAACCCAAAATTTTAAAATCACCACAACAATTACACACAACAAAATACAAATAATAAACTAAAAACAAATAATTATGTGTCAAATAACAATGCATCTAATTCAAAACTAATATAAGTAGTATAAATAAATCATAAATATAATGAGTGATTACCAAAAATTAGACCTGGTAATTTAACCTAGGGTAAAAATGGTTTGAAACTCAGATATGTATCCATCTAGCCTCCTTCTGAAGGATGAGGCGATCCCAGTCACCACCTCTGGAGTCTAGATGAACACTTTCAAGGGCAAAGAACCTGACAGATTGTGGATTCTTAGGATGATACCATGTACCATGTCTCCCTATGAGGGATGATATATCTCCCAAATGGATAGCTCACACATGGTCATAAATTATTTTCCAAAACTTATGTTTGGTTTTACCAATGTAAAAACTGCCACAACTGCATGTCATCATATACTGTAAATGATGCTTGCAGTTTGGCAGTTCACACAGTGTCTTGCTTCATGCATCTCCCCATTTGGTAGTATATGCTTCTTACCCTGAGAAATATATCGGCAATAAGCACAACCACCACATATAAATGTTCCCTTATGGAGGCATTAATCTGTCCTTCCTGTCCTAACAAAATGGCTCTGTACCAGTGCATCCCTAATGGATGTATTTTTTCAGAATGTAATTTCAGCCTTGTCTCTTATACATGTGGCTACAGCAGGATCAGCTTTGAGAAGATACCAATATTTTTCAATAACATGATGGATCTGTTGCTGTTGTCTATTGTAGCACATAAATATTTTTGTGGTGGCCACTTTATCTTGCCTGGGATGTGGTGTTTAAAAAATTAGGTCTGTACGTGATTGCTGGTTTGCTCGATGATATGTTTTTTCAACATTTTGTTTGAATAGCCATGAGCCAGCAATCTGGTTTTCAATGCATCGGCCTCTTGTTTGAAATCTTCTTGGTTGGAACAATTAAGTTTGAGGCGTAAATATTGACTATATGGTATGGACCTAATTAAGCTGTACAGGTGGCCACTGTTTGCCCTTAAGATGGTATTTCCGGCCATGGCCTTATGATACAGAGTGGACCCTAAAGTATGATCTTCCCGTACAAAAATCTACATGTCCAAAAATAAAATATGCTTGGGATCGCATGTCATTGTAAAGAACAAATTAAAGTCATTTGTCCCCAAACGTGTGCTGAAAGTATCCAAAAATTCCTTGATGCCATCCCAAAGGATAAGTATGTCATTGATGTATCTGTGCCAAGATAGAACATGGCACAGGTATATTGAGACTCATCCCCAAATATCTGATGTTCCCACCTCCCAGGTACAGATTGGTGAAAGATGGGGCACAACATGTCTCCATTGCTACGCCTTGTACCTGGAGGAACTGGAAACCATCAAATGTACAATAATTGTTTCCAAGTATATATTCGAAAATCTCAAGACCAAACCACATTGTATTCAACCTGCTCCTTACTCCTTTCCTTCAGAAACATATTAACCACACTCAGACCTTTACTATGAGGCATACTACTGTACAGGGTTTCCACATTTAAATCTACTAATAAAGTGTTATCAGGGGCTTGCATGTCTTCAATTGTTTGCAGCAGATGTATGGTATCTTTGGCGTAAGATGGTAAACTGGTAATGTGCGGTCTCAGTGCTCGTATGTTCTGTGAGCCCACCACAACCTGATATTATAGGTCTCCCTGGGGGTTTTGCTAAATTTTTATGTACCTTAGGAAGGGCATAGAAAGTATTTTGCAGTGATAATACAACATTTATCATTGTGATAGTATACATTTCACCTTTTAGCACTGACGTTAAGGATTGGGATTCAAGTTTACAGTTAGGATTTTATGTTTTGTTAAGATTATGGATTGGTAAATGTCTGTTTTTCAGTTTTGATAATTCATTTGAGTTCCATGAATTCATTTTAGGTGTGGTTAGTACCTGTTAATTTAATGCATTCATTATAAGATATTATAGGATAATGACCTAAGCCTCATTCTGATTCTGACTACTATTATCTGTCTCTGTGAAATGAGTGAAGTCAAAATCACTTTTGAGACAGATTGTTTTTGGTACACATTCGTAAAATGTTTCCACCAATAGAATTAATTCAATTCACTAACTGATCTAGGCTTATCTTTGGTAAATAACAGTGGTGGACACTGGGCACATTCTGACAGTTGATCTAGTTTACTATATTCTGAAGATAAATTGACTCTCACATAAATATGTACCAGGAAAGGGAACCAGGCAAGCCCACCTTATTGGTCCAACCAATGCTGGATAATTTTAGTAATTTACTATTTTTTTTTCAATATAAGCCAGCTGGATTCCTTCTTTAAAATTCATGCTTGGTTACTCTATTCAAAAATATTTGAAGAATAAACATGATAACTTTCAGGTTGTTCCCAAGAGAAGTCTTAAAACTCAGTTTTCATTAAAAATAAGACATAGTCTATACAATTGCTACACACGCTATTTTGTAGTTTAATTTCATTAAAATTACCTTTCAATTTCATGCTGCAGCTGCTATAATATTCTAAAGCTGTCGCAAAAATGTTAGACAATATTGCAATTTGGAGGTGTTATGAAGACTGTTGGTATATGTAATGCCCCCAGAAATGTCATTTTCTGCTTGTGTGATTGGCTCACTGTTTTCTCAGAAATGTGCAAGTCAAATTTTATGCATCCCCTGCAATGGGAATTTCAGTTTTGGTGAGATGCTTTCCAAGAGTTAACTACTTTTAAAG